AAAGCGATTATCGGCCGATAGTGATCGGTAGCCGATCAATCGGAGCACCCCTAGTTTACAGGATCAAAGGAAGCAAAGTTTCCTTACTTTAGCAAAGGAACACCAGTCTCCTCTTGGCTTATATCGAAATCTTCTGACATTCTTCTTTACAAATCCTCGTTTTGTACTTCTGATTAGTGACCGTTGTTTTGTTTCGATCTCTCCGCTGCACTTCCGCGTGCGTCACTTCTGAGCCGCGCATGCGCAAAGCTGACCTCATATGTCATTCCCCCAGAACTACTTCTGTTTACAACAGTGAGTGCAAGCTAGATTCAAGTGATTATTACGTTTTGAATATGGATATTTTTCTTACAAAAACGCATAGATTCGCTACAGGAGGCCTTTGTTCACCCCCCGGAGCCATGTGAGACACTTTTTTTAATGGATGGGCGATTTTTATTTAAGTTCTTTTGGACTGAAGCAATGCAACACCCGCTGAGTGGCATTAAACAGCTTGAAAGATCAAAGACAATTTTTAATATAACTCTGACTGGATTCGTCTGAAAGAAGAAAGTCATATACACCTAGGATGCCTCTGGGGTGAGTAAAACGCAGCCTAATTTTAATTTTTGGGTGAACTAACCCTTTAAGTCAGAAAAAAGTCAGTGAATTGACTTCTACCTGAACTTTAAAGGGGACTCAACCCTCTTTTTATTTGATATACTGTCTCAGTCTATATTGCATTCACACTGGTGTTTTAGAAAGCCAAACAAATTAGAATATAATAATAACAATGGCAGTAATAGCCATATATTGTAAAACAATTGCACTGTAAAATAAATGAAAATTAATATTTCATAGGTATATTATTTTTGCTTTACACTACAGTAGGGAAATTACAATACTTCTTTCCTAATTTCTACACTTGAAAGAGATATTTTGAATTTGGACTGCATTTAAACCGCTAGCTGTCAGCAATTCATACTGCACTTTTAAGCTTTTATTTTGGCGGAAACAGCAGTAGAGCTTTTATTTTGAAGGAAATCTCCAGCTTCAGTGAAAACAGGCTTACAAAAACAAAAATGTGTCTCACTACAAATCTAGTGAAATGCTTTAATCATCTGCTGTGAAAATAAAGCATAACTGGTGGCCGTTGCGTTCCTAAACGCGCTAAACTCACAGCACGTGCAATAAACAAGTTCACTGCATTCAATGTGAATGGAGATGTTTTGAGGCTCGGAAAACACCGGATCACGAGCTGATCAATGTGTGCGCTTCGAAAAGCGTAGCGCAAACATATTTGATGAAGGGATTAAGCCATATTGTGCTTTTGGTTTTAGTTCGTTTGACAGATACTGTGCCAAAGCATAATGGCAGTTTTGCTATCGCGATATTTAGATATTGATAATATCGTTACATCCCTACTCATTGCAAATCTTTTGCATCTTCTTAGAGATGACACACACAAGTACATCTTACAGTAATAAGCAGCTTATTGTAATTTTATCAATCAAATAAAAATAGGCTGCAGGACTCACCTGTCTGTCGTTGCGATGCTCTTTATCTTCTGAGCTGTCAAAGTCTCCCTGCAACAATGACAACACACACAGAGCTCTACCCAAACCACATCACACATTTACACTGAACTAACAGGTGAATTATAAATCAGCTGTATTAAGCTGGGTACAATGCAAAACTTACATCATGCAGAGGGAAGGCAGAATCATAAACCCCTTTAGCTAGCAGTGATGCAATACCTAAGGAAGAAAAGAGAGAGAATTTGAATATTCAAATTGACAGTTTAACAATCCAATTTAAAAGAGTATGGTATTTGTAGATTTGACACCTCAAGGAACATACCCATAGTTTGACAGGTCTGTGTACAGGCGGTGCGCCTCAGAATTTCATAAACCTATGCAAGAGCGTGTACGCAACACAATAATACATCAAAAAAAGCAATCATACATTAACAGAATAGTTCACCCAAAAATTTCATCTATTCCTCTCTGGTCACTATTTCAATATAATGAATGTGGACTCCAAAATTACTAAAAAGCACCATGAAGTATCATAAAAATGGCCCATATGAAATGTGCACTTAGTCATAAGATATATATTGAAAATGTTATTAGCTGAACATTCAGCTCAGTTCTTCTGGGCATGTTCATGTGAGTTTATGAGCTATGGTAGTAATGTCTAAGTCATAAATTGTTCTTTTTGAGTCAGTGTATGGCACGAAAACAGTATAGTTTAATGATACTTCTATGTTGCTATGTTCTTGTCATTTTTTAAGCTTCAAAGTAGAGACCTGCACTCCCGCAGGAGTACCGCGGGACCCGCGGGACCCAACGCAACAGGGTGCGGCGCGGGACAACTCTTGATGGGCGAGTGCGGGTGCGGGCGGGAAGAGACTCGTGTGTGTGCGGGATGCGGGAGAATAAAATGATTCGCGGGACTCCCGCAAAATAGAAATTATCTAAACATAAAGTGTCTAAAACATATAAATTGTTATTTATCTGTTGCACTAAAGCAAAAAGAACAACTAATATTAACATTCAAAATGATTAGCGCGCAAGCTAGACATAGTTTCCATTTGTAATGTAGCCAATCACAGACTCAGCTGTTGATTTCTGGAACGCAATGGCCAACCAGAGGTGATTAAAAAGACAACCAATTAGGCCAACACATGGGCTTGCTTTTTGTAAATGCTCTTTTATGACACTCTGGCTGTCTATGAATGCTGGCACTCACAGGTGTAGCTTGTCTCTGCTGAACGGTTGGGATAGCACCTGTGTGCGTGGGTCTTGGGGCTCCGGTACGCCCGGCTGGAACAGCTGATTGATCTTCGTCCAAAACGAGCTTATTACGCCCATGAGCCCCATCTTCTCTTTCAGCTGATATGTCTGGAAAAACAACCATAACGGAACTGAAATTAAACAGAGATTAATCCATTTATATCCAGAGCTAAAGAGAGACGAGACACACTAGAAGTTGAGACCAGAGTCAGACGATTTAACACCACATGTGTGGAATGGAAATATATCTTGTTTTGTGGGCAAACAAAGCACATGGGATGTGGGTCCATATGTGTCAACAGCTAATCCACCATTATCAGATTATATCATTCAATACAACTCACCACCTCAAAGGATAAATCATTCTTTCAGAATGTCACTCTAAGCCAAATTTAAATGTATGGGAAAATGTGACGTTAACAATCATCTTAGTATGCAGCGTATGACAAATGCCTCTTGCAGGAATTTGAAAACATTTTACAAGTAATCGGCTTGTTGACCGTGTAATCAGATCTTTTTTTTTCTCTGCAGTGTTCAGACTTTGAGAATTGACTTTTGGCATTACAACTGCTCTTAGACCGCGCCAACCCGGAGCACTTACAAAGATCGTCATGGAGCCAAAGCTCTTAACACCAAAAACATGACCCTCATGGGCTGTGCCAGTGTCCACATTTGGAGTGACTGTTGAGTCTCTGAACAGCTCGGATTGACACATTGGGCTCTCATTTGAACAGAACTGTTTCTAAGCATTGGCATTAGTTTATTTGTCAGTGCAATCTGTACCAGTAAAACACTGGAGTAAAATGTCAGGTCATACTTATACATACGTGCTTATAAAATATAGAAAATATTTTTAAAAAAATGTAATTTATTCTTTTGATGCAAACAATTTCAGCATCATTATTCCAGTCTTCAGTGTCACATGATCCTTTGGATATCATTCGGATATGCTGATTTGCTGCTCAAGAAACATTTCTTATTATTATCAATGTTGAAAACAGTTGTGCTGCTTAATATTTTTGTGCAAACCGTGATACTTTAAGTTCAAAAGAATTTATTTGAAATTGAAGCATTCGAATGTCTTTACCATCACTTTGGTCAATTTAATGCATCCTTGCTGAATACAAGTATTAATAAAAATTTTTTTTAAAAGTCACCAAAATAGGAACCGTCCTAACGGGAGCTAACAGTTGATTGTTGATTTTAATGGAAGCATTTTAGTTTTAATACACTAGCAACACAAGATTGTAGGTTTGATTCTCAGGAAACACATATAACATATCTTATTAAAGATTCTGACAAATGCATGCATGTAAATTGGGTATCCTTGTATTTTTTTTCTATGGGGCTGTTAAAGAGAGTCAAAGGTGAACGGAATCAGAACATGATGCAGACCAGACTCAAACCTAGGTCCTTGAGAGCTTTATGAGCCTCACAGATCACCCACTGCATCAGCGCTCTGACACATTTTTATATTTTATTCTCAAATGGCAGCCTTTTTATGTGTCTGTTTCCCTTTTTATAGTAACTCACCTTTTTAGTCGGCACTCTGATCTTAAGAAGTTCTGCCTCACGACTGAGAACGGGCCAGGGAACATGGAGACGGGTAAACCGGACCGTTCTCATCTTGAAAGAAAAAGAAAATTAGTTTAAGAGTAAAGCACCACTGAATAATGCAGTCGATTTGGTTTGCAGGATGCAACTGAAAATTTGCTTCAAGATAAGGTGATTGGTGCAAAAACACACACACACACACACACACACACACACACAGAGAGAGTTTAAGAAGCAGCTGTTACTAAAATGGTCTTATTCAGCGTGGATGAATGACACACACACAAACACATCAAACACAAACACCTCTGGCAATGAGGATCAACCATAATCTGTCTTTAGGCTAGAGACAGCAGCACTCAAATTTAATCCACACTAACATAACACAACTGATCTACCACCATCACACCACCAACAATCAAACGTACACCCACATCACAGCTTTCACTCAGGATTTCACTCTCATCAGTCAATCTTTATGCTAAAATGAACCTTGGGGCCAATTTCAGATCTGTACAGACATCGGACATAGAAACAATGCCTTTGCATCTTAGAATTAATTTACTATTATAGCTAGTTATGCAATATCAAAAACAACGACAACAATGTTTTTCACTTACAAAATCATTTGCAAGTATATAACATGGTAGAATTTGTTTTAAATTAAATTTATGCTGATTAATTAAAAACGCTGTTCAGGAAGATGATTTTTATTGCATTATTCATTATTATTATCATGGAAACAGAAACTAAAAATCATAAAAAGGTCCTAAAAATGGGCTTTATATTTTTTATGCAAAATATAATTTCTTTTAGGTTGAAATACAAAAGCCTTTCCTAAATGTCACCGTGTGACTTGCTGCCGTTCAGGACTCACCTGTCTGTCGTTGCGATGCTCTTTATCTTCTGAGCTGTCAAAGTCTCCCTGCAGCAATGACAACACACAAAGCTCTACCCAAACCACATCACACATTTACACTGAACTAACAGACAAATTACAAATCAGCTGTATTAAACTGGGCAAAATGCATTACTTACATCATGCAGAGGGAAGGCAGAATCATAAACCCCTTTAGCTAGCAGTGATGAAATACCTGAGACAGAAAAGAGAGAAAATTTGATTATCTGTAGTTAAAATATTTCATGAAACATTGTCAGTTAAACAATCCAATTTAAAAGAGTATGGTATATTTGTGGAGTTGGCATCTCCAGGAACATACCCATAGTTTGACAGGTCTGTGTGCAGGCTGTACGCCTCAGAATTTCATAAACCTATGAAAGAGCATGGACGCAACAGAATAATACATTAAAAAATTAATAAACTCAAACATAAATTAATAGAATAGTTCATCCAAAAATGAAAATTATATATTTTCTTATCTGATAACTATTTCAATATAATGAACATGGACTGTGGTTGTCAAGCTGAAAATGACTAAAAACCACAATAAAGTATTTTAAACATGGCCCATATGGAATATGCATTTAGTCGTAAGATATATACATTTTGTGTGAGAGACAGACTGAAGTTGAAGATGTTATTCGCTGAACATTCAGCTCAGTTCTTCTGGGCATGTTCATGTGAGTTCATGAGCTATGTAGTGATGTCTAATTCATAAATTGTTCTTTTTGAGTCAATTCTTTACAGTGAATTGGCTGACAAAACCAATTTGAATAATTCATTCTTGATTCATTCAGCTCACTGACTCAATGATCCGGTCACAGAGGTTAAAAGCCTAATGGAAGTGAATACAGACATGTATTTTGTCTGATAATGAATGGCACACAAATGGTATGGTTTATTGATACTTTTATGGTGTAAGCTCCAGTCCTCTATCCTCAATCTTTCTAACTGTATGAGGAAAAATTACCATTGCATCATTCAGAATTACTCCCTTTGTGTTCCACAGAAAAACGAACCTTTAGAACAATATAATTTGACATAATTTTCATTTCTGGCTGAACTGTTGCTTTAAAATCAGTTCTAATGTGTCCAGATGTGTATAATCGTCCTGTTTCATTATTACTGATACTTACAATTCGACCTCGTATTGCATTGCTGAACAAGCTGTTTTTCGACTTTATATCAAATCTGCAAAATAAAAGACAACCAATTAGGCCAACACATGGGCTTGCTTTTTGTAAATGCTCTTTTATGACACTCTGGCTGTCTATGAATGTTGGCACTCACAGGTGTAGCTTGTCTCTGCTGAACGGTTGGGATAGCACCCGTGTGCGTGGGTCTTGGGGCTGGAACGGCTGATTGATCTTTGTCCAAAACGTGCTTATTACGCCCATGAGCCCCATCTTCTCTTTCAGTTGATATGTCTGGAAAAACAACCATAACGGAACTGAAATTAAACAGAGATTAATCCATTTATATCCAGAGCTAAAGAGAGACGAGACACACTAGAAGTTGAGACCAGAGTCAGACGATTTAACACCACATGTGTGGAATGGAAATATATCTTGTTTTGTGGGCAAACAAAGCACATGGGATGTGGGTCCATATGTGTCAACAGCTAATCCACCATTATCAGATTATATCATTCAATACAACTCACCACCTCAAAGGATAAATCATTCTTTCAGAATGTCACTCTAAGCCAAATTTAAATGTATGGGAAAATGTGACGTTAACAATCATCTTAGTATGCAGCGTATGACAAATGCCTCTTGCAGGAATTTGAAAACATTTTACAAGTAATCGGCTTGTTGACCGTGTAATCAGATCTTTTTTTTTCTCTGCAGTGTTCAGACTTTGAGAATTGACTTTTGGCATTACAACTGCTCTTAGACCGCGCCAACCCGGAGCACTTACAAAGATCGTCATGGAGCCAAAGCTCTTAACACCAAAAACATGACCCTCATGGGCTGTGCCAGTGTCCACATTTGGAGTGACTGTTGAGTCTCTGAACAGCTCGGATTGACACATTGGGCTCTCATTTGAACAGAACTGTTTCTAAGCATTGGCATTAGTTTATTTGTCAGTGCAATCTGTACCAGTAAAACACTGGAGTAAAATGTCAGGTCATACTTATTATACATACGTGCTTATAAAATATAGAAAATATTTTTTTTTAAATGTAATTTATTCTTTTGATGCAAACACTGAATTTTCAGCATCATTATTCCAGTCTTCAGTGTCACATGATCCTTTGGATATCATTCGGATATGCTGATTTGCTGCTCAAGAAACATTTCTTATTATTATCAATGTTGAAAACAGTTGTGCTGCTTAATATTTTTGTGCAAACCGTGATACTTTAAGTTCAAAAGAATTTATTTGAAATTGAAGCATTCGAATGTCTTTACCATCACTTTGGTCAATTTAATGCATCCTTGCTGAATACAAGTATTAATAAAATTTTTTTTAAAAAGTCACCAAAATAGGAACCGTCCTAACGGGAGCTAACAGTTGATTGTTGATTTTAATGGAAGCATTTTAGTTTTAATACACTAGCAACACAAGATTGTAGGTTTGATTCTCAGGAAACACATATAACATATCTTATTAAAGATTCTGACAAATGCATGCATGTAAATTGGGTATCCTTGTATTTTTTTTCTATGGGGCTGTTAAAGAGAGTCAAAGGTGAACGGAATCAGAACATGATGCAGACCAGACTCAAACCTAGGTCCTTGAGAGCTTTATGAGCCTCACAGATCACCCACTGCATCAGCGCTCTGACACATTTTTATATTTTATTCTCAAATGGCAGCCTTTTTATGTGTCTGTTTCCCTTTTTATAGTAACTCACCTTTTTAGTCGGCACTCTGATCTTAAGAAGTTCTGCCTCACGACTGAGAACGGGCCAGGGAACATGGAGACGGGTAAACCGGACCGTTCTCATCTTGAAAGAAAAAGAAAATTAGTTTAAGAGTAAAGCACCACTGAATAATGCAGTCGATTTGGTTTGCAGGATGCAACTGAAAATTTGCTTCAAGATAAGGTGATTGGTGCAAACACACACACACACACACACACACACACACACAGAGAGAGTTTAAGAAGCAGCTGTTACTAAAATGGTCTTATTCAGCGTGGATGAATGACACACACACAAACACATCAAACACAAACACCTCTGGCAATGAGGATCAACCATAATCTGTCTTTAGGCTAGAGACAGCAGCACTCAAATTTAATCCACACTAACATAACACAACTGATCTACCACCATCACACCACCAACAATCAAATGTACACCCACATCACAGCTTTCACTCAGGATTTCACTCTCATCAGTCAATCTTTATGCTAAAATGAACCTTGGGGCCAATTTCAGATCTGTACAGACATCGGACATAGAAACAATGCCTTTGCATCTTAGAATTAATTTACTATTATAGCTAGTTATGCAATATCAAAAAAGAATGTTTTTCACTTACAAAATAGTTTGCAAGTACACAACATGGTAGAATTAGTTTTCAATGTAATTTATGCCGATTAATTAAAAACACTGTGTTCAAGCAGATGATTTTCATTGCATTATTCATTATAATTATCAAGTAAGCAAAAACTAAAAATCATAATGGTCCTAAAAATAGGCTTTATTTTCATTATGCAAAATATAATTTCTTTTAGGTTGAAATATCTAGTCGTTTCTTCGTGCATAAGGTGTACTCAAACCTGCATAATAATAGGAACTCTATTTGGATTCATGAGGGTATTGCTCGAGTATAAGCTTTTTGGGGGGAAAAAAGCTGCATGAGTCAACCAATCTACTCCTATTCAGAAATACTAAGCTCTCCCTGCTTCAACTTGGGAAAATCCATGATGCAGGGGGAACCGATCATCCCTTGTGACAACCATAGTTGCATCTGTCGCAAATATATCGCTGGGGGCCACCACTGCAGCATTGCAGGAAAGCGAAGAAATGCTCTCTGGCATCTGTTAACTAGTATTAAAATATGCTGCATTGCTTGAAAATGAAAACTAGCTCCCCCTTCAAAAAAGATAGACTTTTCTTGGTGTGGGAGGGTTTGGGCTTTTTCTAAACTGGGTCTCCAATTCTTAAGTTCCAAGGTCACCTTGGGAATCTCTTGATTGTGTTTATTCTGTTAGTATTACACTCAAAACTGAGCTCATCCCTGATTATTCATGGCTCAACACATGAGACAATGATACATTAATGTGTTTGCCAGGAAAATGATATAGACATGCATGGGCAAACAAGAACACACACAGGCTATGTTCAGAATATACTATGCTACTCACACTAATTTTGCAATATGCAGATTTTTGGACTATTTTAAGCACCATTTTCGTTATCTGATCAGACTGATTGAATTAAGGACTTTTACACAAAATGTATTTTAAATAAATGCAAAACAACCCCTTTTAATTTCCAAAAATGATAACTGTGTCGACGCCACTTGTGAAATTACATACACTACTGTTCAAATGTTTTGGGTCAGTAATTTATTTATTTTTTTAAAGAAATTAATACTTTTATTCAGCAACGATGCATTAAATTGATCAAAAGTGACAGTAAAGATGTTTATAATGTAAAGTCTATTTTAAATAAATGCTGTTCTTTTGAACTGTCTTTAAATCAAAGAATCCTGAAAAAATGTATCACGTTTTTCACAACAACAACAACAAAACTCTTTCTTGAGCAGCAAATCAGCATATTAGAATGATTTCTGAAGGATCATGTGACTCATCATGTTGGAGTAATGATGCTGAAAATTCAGCTTTGCATCACAGGAATAAATTACATTTTAAATTATATTCAAATAGAAAACATTTATTTAAAATTTTAATATTTTTTCACAATATTACTGTTTCTACTGTATTTTTGCTCAAATAAATGCAGCCGTACTGAGCATAAGAGACTTCTTTCAAATATGTTCAAAAATATTAATTATTCCAAAGTTTTGACCACTAGTGTATAACACTTTTTAAATATTATTTTTCTAGTGAATGTGACCAAGAGGAGATGCACAATCGTTTGAACAGGTGTAGAGGCCCAACAGGAGACATCCCAACAGTCTTGGTAAGCATAAGAGAGTTTCAAAAAGATTTTTAAAAAATCGTACAAACTTTTGAACAGTAGTGTATGGATATAAGCAGATCATATGACAATTTACAGTAGCATCCTACTGTTTGAAATGTTGCATAATGCATTGTTTCTTACATATTTAAGAACTAAAAATAGTAGGCAGTACAGTATTTAGTGTATACTGCGTAGTATGCAGTTGGCTAGTATTTTAGCAGTCTGAACATAACTATGCACACATCAACACAAACCTCTTTGTCATGTTCAATCTCCAAGCCTTCCTCCTGAAGTCCTCTTTCAAATTCCTCTCTAATTTTATCTTGTAGTTCGTTGGCGGGTTCCATTGCAAGCCCCGCCTCCAGCACTGCCTCCAAAATATCGCCCTTCGTACTCCTGCGTGAAGGGGTGGGGCTTTGAGACGGCACGTTACCGTTAGAGACAACAGAGAGGCGGTGTTGGGACTGACGTCTCTTGCAGTGATAAACAAGAACGTAGTCCACTCTTCTGCGGTCGTCTGCAAAACACAGCCCTCCTCCTGGACCAGGGCCCGGCTCCTCCTGAAAACACACACAAGCATTCTTCAGCTCAGTAACATCTAGACACATCTGTATGGCTGTACAGCGAAAGCTGTAATTACAGATTCCTGGAGCTCTCTCAAAGCTGCATAGCGTGTAGTTGGCAGTTTGAGCAAAAAAATTGAGGATCTGGGTCATCCACTGATTGGCTGGTGGTTCAAAGCTTTTGGACGTTTCCTGTCATACTCATGTTTGATTCGAATTCTGCTTTTGAGCAAGGTGCATAACTAGGACGGTCCCTGTGGTTTGCAAATTAGTGGATAAAACTGTCAGCTGACATTGTGGTTTTCATAATATTCTGTTCACACTACAAAAAGATCCCCAAAAAGTTTATGATCAGAAAATATAAGATAATATATTTTACCCCAAATAAGAACAAATGAAAACTTATATTTTGCAAAAAGACATTTTGTGATTTTTTTTCCTGCATTATGAAATTACAGACTTGCACCCCAATTCCATAAGCAAAAATAAATAAAAACTATTTTTGTTACTGTAAAGCAAAAAACAACAACAACAGTTTACTGTATGCATAAATATTTAATTTATACAAATAAGATTTTTTAAAAATATTTTTTTATTATAAAAATACAAAGTATATAACAAAAAATTCTTTAAATTTTTTTAAAGTTTTGTCAAAGAATCACAGTTTTAGGGGGTAATATTTACCAGTGTGTGTTCTTGGGAGCATTTTTACTGTATGTTAAAGAACTTTATAATAATCAAGTTCATTGGAATGTGAATTGTGTTAAAAGAAAATGTCTTGGGATTTCTACAGGCTATAGGAACGTCTAGTGCAAATATTTAACTGATGCCATTTAGTAGATGCTTTCCAATATGATACATTGAAAACACATTGCAAGTTCCACTGAAGCATGAAAAAAACTCATTACAACAAAGTATAAATATTTAATTTATGCAGATAAGATTTTTTCATTTCATTTTTAATTTTTTAAATATAAAAAATATATATATTATATTAATGCAAATTCTAAATTCTAATTTCTTATTTCTTTAATTAGATTTTGGAAAAAAGCATTTGAAGGTTCCACCAAAGCATGTTGGGATCTTGGGAAGTGTTTTCCTCCACTGGAGAATGGATTCTCAGACTATAACTGTCCAGTAGTGATATGGATTTTTCAATGGTCGATGCCCATATCTAGAGATTTTTTTCCCACTGACTCCAACCCACAATCTTTGTGTGACCAGCTTACAATTGCAAAATCACTGCATTTTCTTATGTCACCTTACTTGACCCCTGGGGGGTCCGTGAAGCTTCTGCAGAGGGTCCATTGAGAAGATGCACATAATTCAAGATTCAATTCAAGTTTATTTGCAGTTCAATTTGCAGAATTGAATTGAATTGAACATAACATATGCAATGCAAATATTTTAATATGATCTAACCAGAACCATTATTTAATGCAATAATGTCAGTTAATAATTTAACATAAAGTGCTCTAAAAGTAATACCTGTCTTTGATAATAAACAACATTTCCTCGTAAAGCCTGCATTAGACAACAGAAATCACGCACCGTGTCCTCAGCAATGTCGTTGGCATCATGCCCGCTGCTGGCCGTGCCCTGCTGGCCCTGTTCAGAGATATCTCGGGCAAGACAGCGGAGTTTCTCGCTCTGCATTGAAGAGGACTCACTCTTCACGGCAGAAACACGCATGCGCTCAGGGGCCCCATTCCAATTTTCTGTTAGATAGAGATATTCACAGGTTAATTTTGATGTCTAATAATATCTTACTGAAAGTCTTCTGTTATGGCATTTTTCTCTTATGTCAGTTTCTTTGTGTGTGCTTTGACAATATTGCATGCAAAACAATCATGCCAATAAATTGCTTGAAATTGAAATGGAACTGAAAGAGAGAGAGAGAGAGAATGCATCCATTTAAAAGTAGAGACTAAAAACCTTTCAGCACCAAGGACAGCGACATAATTGAAGGCTGTGCCTCAATGCAATGCTCAAAACCTGTAAAACTGACTGCGGCACTTACACCTCTAGTCTTTCTAAATATTCTCACACCTGACTAACGCGTCACTTAAATATGCCTCATGCCTTAAGGTAAACAAACACAGGGATTCATGACTCTTAGAGAAAGCTATAAGCGCATTTACACCACCTGACCAAACCATGCATCGCTCCACAGTCTATTTGTGCATTTATTTCCCAGTGCTTTCATATGAAATCACAGTTTCCATTCTGTCGTCAATGTCAAAAGAGAAAAAAGATCATAAAGTGTGTTTGATTGTTATGAGAAAACAACACATGGCGTCAGATTGCGCTTGAAATAGCTCCAGCTTATTGCCCCAGCTAATTAAACAAACCCCCTCCGACATACTGAGCCCTCTCATTGTTTTCCAAAGCAAAGGATGAATTCTAACACAATTAGTTACAACGTTAACGAGTGTTAAAGTGTGACAGCCCGTCTGAAGGGGCAAATAATGGCGTGCGCCTCATTGCAATTAACATCAACGACCAGTTTGGTGCCACTCAAATGTTCAGTTTTCACCACATCAGACTAATGGGACTATCAATGCATGAGTACGTGAAATAACATGCATGCATTTGCAACAATTGAATATAAAATTATAACCAAACAAGCCAATTTATCCAAGTGCCAATTACACAGACATACAGCAAATGCATTTTCCCTTTGGCTCAGAGAATCCAATGCACTCGCACACAAACAACAGCATCAACAAACAACATCCACCAAGCCAATTTATCCAAGTGCCAATTACACAGACATACAGCAAATGCATTTTCCCTTTGGCTCAGAGAATCCAATGCACTCGCACACAAACAACAGCATCAACAAACAACATCCACCGGAGTGCTAGGACTGGTACTCACCCGTGGCAGAGGGCGACCTGTTCAGTGCCATCTTCATGTTCCCGGTGATATGGTGGACAATCCGCTCGCGGCCCCGCGCAGCTTAACGCGCTCGTGCTGCTGCCGTTAATTCCGTGGAGCGCTCGAGACGCTCAAACTTCCAGCGCGCGTGCACCGAGAGAACAGTGACAGCCGACACAATCCCCTCCCCCCCCCTCTCTCTCACACACACACACACACACACACACACAAGGTAGGCCTATCTCTCACAAACAGACGCTAAATGCATAATACTAATAATTACGAACTAACCGTGGAAAATATTTTAAAACATAAAAATTAATTGTTTTATGACCAAGCATTATATAATAAATAAAACAGTAGTTTAGAAAGGAATGAAAATACTGTCATCATTTACTCACCCTCATGTCGTTCCAAACATTAGGCAGAATCAGAGTTTCAATCACTTTTTAAAAGATTCATTTGGATCCGTTCACTGATTCATTCAGTGTCTCCTTCTGCAGGTTATCAGTAGGAGGCGACTAGTGTCTTTCTTGAGAGGTAGTGAATTATTCACACTACCGATTCATTAAAAATACAGGGTTTACCAGGTCTCATGGTCGCTTATTAAATGTACAAATGTATAAATATAAAAAGAGGCGCCGTTTTACATAAATATCGATTTCCTCACAGTCGGCCAGGAAATTATTCATTCATTCGGTTCGTTCATGAACAAGATGAATCCTTTTATTCAGTTTGTTTGAGTCATGTTCACTGTGCCGCTCCACTCAAAAACGTGCTGCGACCAAATTCCTGTTACTTTTATAGACATGCCATCTGCATTTAATGATTAATTTACTTCTTGACCACTGATGAAGGATATTCCGTATGCAGGTAGTACTAGCTACATCTGCCATCCTGATATCACCCTTTGACCCGTTATTGTATTAACAACTGTGAAAATAATTTACTTTAAAAGAGAAAAAAAATTATTGGTACTTAAAACACTTGACTTTTTTTTTTAAATCTGACAGCTCCTTGGTTCATATGGCTCTCTGTGGTATAGGCTAGCAGGTGCATATTCGCCTACTATTATTCAAATACTGCATATTCAGGCATGCTGCATATTTTTTGTACTGCTTTTTGCATACTATATACTATAGAACACGTGGGAACCTACTTGTGGCATAAAGTCGTCTTCGTGCACCCTATTTGAATATGCATATGCAAATATTTTTTGAACGATGTAGAGCAGGGGTGTGAAACTCATTTAAACTGAAGGCCACTTCAACCTTATGGCTGCCATCAAAGGGCCGGTTGTAACTGTAAGACTGTACAAATGTTACTATTCCTTAACATATTGTTAAATAACTGTCTCTTTATTTTATTATTACTTACGTTACAAATATTGCATATACATTTGCATAGATGTAAAAAATATATGTAATTGCTCTGTTATTTTAACATAAATCCTTTTAATTTATCAGCGTAAGAAATCCAAATTACTCTATAAATCAAAGTAAATAATAAAGACAAGTATCATCAAACACAAGTCATTACATTAACTTTGTTAAAAACTGTTTTGTTACATTTATGGCACAACAAATAATTGTGAGCTGCTAAGAACGTGTGACAGATA